CGTGGCGTGCGCTAGCGCACACCAGCGGCTGCTCGCTCGTGGAAAGTTCGTGCGCCACTTATTATGAACACTAAAATGTTTGGTTCAGTATCCCTGTCACATCTTATATTGGCTTTTGCGGCGTTCATCTCATGCTTTTCGCACGGAATTTAGTTTCCGACGAATACGCAGCGGCGTGTTGCACTACACTCTTAGAAAAAAGGGTGTGCATGGTCCTCCCTTAGGGGAGGAACGGTCTTGTAACCTATTTTCCTTTAGAAAGGGAGAAACTTTCGTCCCTGAAGCAGGGGAGCAAAGTTCCTCCGTCGCTTGCATCTCAATATGGCGGCCCGGAATCGAGCAAATCGAGCCCAATAAGGCTTGACGAGGACGCTACGTCTCTTGTACGGGACGAAAGCAGCAGCAAATGAAAGCGTAACACGAGCTTTCCGCAAACTGTATTTATTTCCGAAGCCAAATTTCCCCCACAGGTACAGAAACTTGCGTTTCGAAAGCAGTTACTCAGTCTTTTCGTCGTCAGCACTGCGATGTTAAACGGAGACAACCGATACCCAGTTACTTCGCGCACTTTGCGTCTTACCTTTGGTGTTCCTCCAGTCACAATTCCTTCGTCAACCGCACATCACGGAGAAGGGCAAACTCAACCCACGAAATCAAAAGCCGCTCTCGAAAGAACAAACTCGAAGCCGCTGTTTATCGCGTAGCGTGATAGAAGGTTAAATCGCTAGCCACCAGATGGCGGGGTAAAGCAGAGTAATTGCAAGTAGCTCGGCTAGGTGGCGCTAGGTACCGCCCAATTCATGTTCTATAAAAAGTTCAAGCCACACTGCGCTTGGGGATCCTCTACTATACACACATTACGCTTATTATAAGCATCAGGTGAGCATACATTGAGCACATACACGGCACACACAAATATCAATACATCGGAACACCACACTAACCGGAACACTACACCCGTGCTCTGCGTTTTCGTCTTTTATACTGGTCGTTTTGAACGTGCGGAACTTTTCGGTGACTCCCTAAGCAATAAAAAATATTCCCAGCATGTGGATTTTTCCTCAGCAATGTCATACCTCTGAGAGTATTTTGAATGGCTCAGGGGATGAATCTCTCATTAAAAAGTAAACGCTCGATCATGCCGTAATTATTTGAAAGCCAATAAATCAAGCCGCTCCAATGCGGTTCGAAGCGTTCGAAGCCATGGGTTTGTTTCCCCACACGGCACGTCGTAGCCTGTATTTCTATTGGTTTTTCTATTAGTGCTGTTCGCGGAAAGCTGCAATTGCCGTCTTGAATTAATCTCTGTAGAGCGGATATTCACTCAGCTGGAAGTGATGCTTCACGGGCTGAGAATTAGCTTTTCGATCAACTTGAATGCAGTCAAAGCCGCGACTTGCGGCAGGTGTTAAGTGTACCGAGCTACGCCGCTACGCCGTGGCGAGCCGGAAAACTTCTAGCCCTCATCCCAGAGTGCCACGGAGGGCAGTTTCTCCAGGAACCGTAGTATATTTAAACAGCAAAATAAAGGGTAGCTTTTTTTTTTCGATTTTACCTACTATTGTTTTTTAATGCCGAAATTCCATACTGTAAATATACGTACTTTCCGTCACGATTTCGTACTGTTCAGTTCTTGCCCCAGAGCGCAATCGCTCTCGGGGACGAGACAATTCCGACAGTCACATTGGCCACTGTACGATAGGAGCTTCTACTGTTCAGACCAGCGTTTTAACATGACTATCCGCACGTTGATCGATTGCACGTAATCCCTCAAGTGGTATTAAACTTTTTAATGTAAAGCGGAACGTCAACCTGCGACGCCCCGCCCCCTCCGATTACGGCCCGACCAGCGGCATCAATGCCCAACAGTTTACGATCTCATCTTCTTGTTACACCACTGATACGCGAACACAAGGTCACATCGGCGATAATTCCAGTCTTCTGTTCACAACCCACAACACTGCCATCATGATGTTGCAGCTATGTTGCTGACACGCACAAACACAGAACCACGTTGAACGCCGGTTGCACTCGGCATCGGAAAACAGAACAGAACTCAGGGGGGAAGGCACCCAGGCAGCCGGCAGCAAAACCTGCCTGTCTTGGACACAGTTCTTGCGGTTTCCATACGTCGAAAACGTCGACACAGTTCCGCGTGGTTCCGCTACTGTAGTGACTGTAGTGCTAGTAGTGCTGTAGTTCCGTGCCGCGCGAGTCCCGCAATCCGGAGACGGCCATCCCCCAGTGTACGTGGCGCTGCTGACACTGCTCCGGAACTTCGCTGTTCCTAGCGGCTTCGTTTGCTCGTTTGATAAAATTAATGATAAAAACGTCAATGCAACCGAAATGATCTGCACGTTTAGACTAGAAGACGGAAATACAGGCGGCCTTCGCTGCCGCTGAAGCTCAATCAACTCAGCAGCTATTTATTAAACAACGTGCGCGACCTGCTTGAGAAACGAAACCGAAAGAAGATGAGTCGGGAGGGCGAAAGCTTTTTCCCGTCTGCCTGGAGAAGGAGAAAAACGTTTCGTTCCTCCCCTTTTCTGGTGTCCGCTTGGGGGCGCGTCGGTAGGAGGGAGGAAAACGCGCCGTTGCTACTTTTTTCCTCCATTTTTTCTTAGAGTGTAGTTTCTTGCAGCGGGAATTTTTTTGTTAATCTTCGCTGCACTGAGTTCAGCCTTTAGATGCGAGTCTGCAATGACTAGCTTCAGAATATGCACAAGCCACTGTCATAGGTAGAAAATAGGTTCTGACCATGGTGCCATTTTCAGCGCTTGTACGTACGGCGCATGCTTTGCTCGCTTTCGGAATCAACGAACACGTATGCGCTGAGCAGTGGAGATCACATGCTGAGCTGTGCTCCCTCCCCCCTTCCCCCCCTCTCCCGCCGCCACTGCAAACTGCACCGTGTTCGGTCCTGAACCGCGAGTGCCGCAAGTTACAAATACAGTCGTAAGAGTAAAGTAAAACACTGTTCCAGAAGCACCCATACGCGGCTTAACGCACATTGCACACTCAAAACACATCCACACGGCATCGATCCTTGATCGGTGTCCAAACGTGCGAAGGCAAAGAGACGCAGCACTTCGGCGTGCCAAGGTAGCTTTGATCACGCCGCGAGGCCAACGAAACTTGCTTTCGACGAGTTGTGCCATTTTTCTGCGCCACTGCGCTTTCGTAAGAAATGCACGTGTTCTCAACGGCAAGATTTACCGCTGACATAGAGTTTTAAAAAGCTTTTTCGGCGAATGACGGCCAATGAGTAGAAAACGTGCCTTTAGCACGCTGCCGCCAGCCTCTGCAACGCTAGCAAAAACGCGATTCCGCTTCACGTAAGATGGCCGTCCGGTGGCCGCACACGCGGAGCAGGAAAGCGCGATCATAGAGATCAGTGGTTGAGGTCAAACTGTATGTCCGACCCCTTTCGGCATAGGGCTTTCCGTATTACGTGTTAATTTTTTCCCCATTAATTAGGAACAGATCGCCTTTAGTAATCACACCCATATTAACGCTTATAACTTTATGAAAAAATATATCTCTCGACAAAAAAAAATGAAAGACGTTCACAATTCTTTATAACTCCGAATTAGAGCGCATCTCTTGAGGAGGAGGAGGGGAGGGTATGTCCCTCCTCCCCCTCCGTACCTTTTCCTGCTCCCTTGCCATTCAGCGGACAATTTTCACTAAATTTTCCGCTAAATCCAACAAAAATTTTCCCACTAAATTTAACGGGGAAGTTTTGCAACGAGCGGTTACGCCCCGTTGCATTATTCCCGTAATGCAACGCGCACGGTTACGCCAACAGCGACGCCGACGCCTTTAACCCGGGAATGGACGCCCAAGAGCTGCGCTATAATATATTTTGAGCCACATGGCTATTTCGCACCGCAACAAAACCATCAACAGGATAACAGCAAACCCTTCATGAGCCCGTAACTCCGTTAAGCTACTGGCTCAAAACACCACTCTCGGAAGCCGACCGTGCGTAACATAACCATAAGTCGTGCTTGGGCTCGCCGGTGACTTTTATGCATACCCCCTTTTTCTACAGCGCCTCGGCGTTTTTTGTAGACACTCCAATCTCACAAAGAAACAAAAGGGCAGGCAAAAGGAAACGATTGATTATTCCGAGTCGAACCTTCCAAAACAACAGCGGCCGTCACTGGCCCTGCATGTGACGACAGTCGGCATCTGCTCATCGACTGCAGTTTCGTGGTTTCGCTTCTTTCATACTAGGAATAATATATTAACTTGAAACTCCCAACCCCAGAAATATTAATTATGATGCTGAAACCATGCGAATGCGAAGAAAACTTGAACATCTTACTTGTCCCGGGGTTTAGATTATTATGTTTCCTAATCAGCTCTTCTGATTACTTTCTTTCATTGCAATACTATATATTGCTTTACTTATAAAACGCTAAAATATGCAGACGGGTGAGTTCAGAGTGACATTTTGTAACCATTGTAACACTTCGAATACGGCAGAACTATGTGGCTCCGGCCTTCGCGACGGGCGCGACGCCGCGACGCGCGACAACCCAAACGGTGGGAACAGACGATCGGGATCGTTTTTCTAGCTGGAACGTACAGTTTCGTGTTGGAGGGAAAGGTCGCTATCCCCTTCTCCGCTGTCTCTCTTTCCCTTGTGTCTTCTCTCTTCGGAGTTTGCTTTCTCTCTGGTTCTCGTGTGCTGCTGCTCTTTGCTCTTCGAGCTCTTCTTTCGGAACCTCCTCACCACTATACTTTGTCTTACCCTACGGTGGACCGCAGCGGGCCCAACGAGCCATCGGAACCATTCAAAAGCAGCGTGAGGTTCACGTGGACTTCGGGACAGGCGCGACAACGTCAGTTGCCACATGATCTCTTCGCGTTCCTGGATTGGTTGACTGACGTCCGCTGCTGTCCGTCGCAAGTTGAAACGGAGCCTAGAGACGCGCGCGGCCTGCGGTGCACGAGGGCGCTGATGCACTTTCTGGGTCCACGGTTTTATTCAATTCAAAACTATGCACGGTGTTGTTGGCAGGTCTGTCGGGTTTCGGTTTTAGTTGTCGGTGGATTGGAACAAGTGACAGTGCAGGTTCTCCGAAACGCGAGCCAAACATGTCGGTTGGCGCTACTGCGGGTGGTGCCCTTGAAGGGATACGGTTCTACATGGAACAAGCGAGACAACTGAGCTTCGACCGAGCCAGAAGTATCCTTAAAACGGAACTTTTAAATGACTGGTTCTTTCAGAAAGCATGGGAAACGGCTCAACTGCTGTACCCGAGCAAACGTTTGGTCGGGGGAGACGTGATGGAGGAAGAATGTTACCTGGCGATCATCTCTTATACCCTGGAGAGACCCAACGTATGTAAACATTTCAATGCCTTATGTCGCGAAGCTCGAGATACGCAATCGAGTTGGGATGCCTTCCCGTTCAAGAGCCTCTGGTTCTTTCTTATCAGCGCATTCGAAAAACTGCCACCGTATTCGGCAGAGCGTCTGTTTCGTGGAGTGAAGACATTCCACAGCAACCTGGACGGCTCGGTTACCTTTGGACAATTCGTCTCGGCAAGCGAGTGTGAAGACGTTGCATCTAGGTTTGGCGGTCGTTGGGGTCGTGTCCTGACGCTCGACGGTGTGCCGCAGGAACTCGTGAGAAACATCGATTCGTACTCGTACTACGGTGTTCATTCCGAAGTGCTCCTCTGGCCGTTTTGTAACTTCAAGCTTGTTTCTGAAACAGAAGGTAAGAAGCTGAAGTTCGTTTCAGCAATGCCTTGGGTCGAACGGGGGTCACAAACACAGCTGATGACCACGTCGCTTGCAGGTCCCGCACCAGGTACCCCATCAAAATCGTCGCCACCAAGGGCGGCCAAGACTACAACCAATGATCCAGAAGTGCCCGAGGTTTCAAATGAATCTTAAAGCTCGGAGGTTCCACCAATATATTTTATCCACTTAGCGCAAAAGACCACGCAGCCCAACCTAATCATCGGTCCCAATGATGCTTTGCTTGAGCGACCAGTCACATTTTCCAGGATGCAGCCTTCCCTCTCACAGACTAATTTTTGTGTGCCTAGAGGAGTAAATAAACCAATTGTCATCATCGACGAGCTATCTACGAAGCCCAAAAAACCCTTGAAAAATGCGCATGTGACAGAATCGGAGCATATTTTACTGAGTCTTGCTATCTCTGACACATTACTAGCACCCTCAAAACAAGGTGCGTCAAAGATCATCATGGCTACTATCTCAAAGCTACCAGAGGTGACCTCAGCTCTGAACGTGAAGGATGCAGTGAAAATGTGCACCAGTATTTTAGGGAAACAAAGATCAAGCCTGTAAGTTTATGCTGTGCCTGAGTATCCCAGTACTCACAACTCATGGGCTCTCTATCCTTAAGTCAACCAAGCGACACTAAACATGGTGAAGCCAATTGTGACTCCTAGACTTTCCAGAGATCCAAGGAACCTTGCTCCATTATGTGTCTACCATCCGAAACTTACAAGGTAGTGCAAGAAATTAAGGAGCCTGTTGTGACGGTCAATACTTTTCAGACACCTGGCGCAGCATGCACTACAAAAACTCCACTGCCATCAAATAAGGTGGTTATGCCAAATGTCTTGAAAACTGCTGCAGTCATAGATCTGCCTGGGTCACCTGATGCTGCATTTATATCAAATCCACTGCAAGCACAAAACATCAAGGTTATGCTGAGGGTCAGGAGAACCTGTGAAGAAATGGCTCCTTCCAAAGCGTCTAGCACATCCAGCACCACTTAACTTCAACTACCACAAAGCAAACGGACAATGAAACAGACAATTAAGTCTAGTAATGTCATGGAGGCAACTGGGGCACTGAAGACATCCAACAACACAAGACCTTCACTGCCAAAAGGCATCTACGTGGTAACCAATTCAGCGTCCAAGCCACCTGAAGCACCCTCCAATGAAGCCACGAAGTAATCAGGCAATACCGAGAAGTTCAGATATCAGTGCGATCATTGGTGTGTCTGAAGCACCGAAGCCCCCGATCACTACAGGAGATCCAGTGCCACCTAGTGACCATAAGTTAAACCTGATCAGGACCAGTGTGCCCTTCGATATGTCGCCCAACCTCACAGAATGTGTGGCATTACAAGTCTACCAAACGACACAGGACATAATGCCAGGTATTATTGTTGGCCCCTTAGAGACACACAAGATACTCGACACCATGAACTCTCAACATCTGCAAAGTAACTGGCTGGTGCCTGGAGTCACGAAGCCTTGTCTGGTCATTGAGATTCCTGGGATACCAGAGGCATCTTGCAGCTTGGAAACTCCAGTGCCCTATGATTACTCAGTGATGTGCGACATCCCGAAGCCGATTAGGGGTGCCGATGTACAACCTGAGTCACCCCCCACCAAAGAGCCTTCACTTCCCCAAGCCAGTGACGTGATACCGAGTGCTTTGATTGTTGGTGAAATGTCTGAGATGAGCAATGTTTCTTCCAGGTTGTCGTGTTCACGGCTGCAAACCAACGAGATTAAGGTGAACAATCTGAAGATATGTGGGACCCTCACTGCTGTGCCTAAAGATTATGCACGTTCTCATTTGAGCATGAGCAATGTTTTGACCATGATCAATGTGCTGCCCACACCTGAAATGCTGAAGTTGGAAGTCAGCGATCCAAAGAGTTCTCCGGTTGCCAGCAGATTGGTGGACAGATATCCTTTATCTGCGATGACTCCAGCAGTGATGTGGCTTTGGTATTATCCTTACTGATGAGTTTATGAGCAATTCCGTCAGTCTGACGCCTACCGAGAAACTTAGCTGTGACAACAGTCAGTTAAACACGCTGCAGGCAGGTGGGATTGCTCTACTGATTTTTTCCTGCATTGCCACGGCAGGTGCCATGGAAGTCATTATTTGTGTCGTTTCTAAGTAGCTAGAATTCACCCATCACTGTAATGTTGCTTTCCTTCTATCTAGTACCCTTGCCTTGTAATTATTGTTGCATTGCCATGGCAGGTGCCATAGAAGTTATTATTTGTGTCTTTTCTAAGTAGCTGGAATTCACCCATCACTGTAATTTTGCTTCGCTTCTATGTAGTACACTTGCCTTGTAATTATTTTTTACACGTAACTCTGTGTCAGAAGTTGATTGCCCCCGACAAAGTCGAGCATTGTGTTCCCATTGTTTCATAAGTTCCAAGAACGTTTAGTGCAGTTGATCGTGAATATGGCATTATTTGGAACTCTAAGCCGATCGTTTTTGAGCATTGGAGTTTCAACACGAATGAAACGTTTAGAAAAGGTAGCGCATATGGTAATTAACTATGCTCGCTTTCATCCAAGAGTCGAACTAAAAAAATGTCCGGCTCCTCGCGGAGCATTACTAATTTCCCCATTTATGTAGGGAATTAAGATATATTTACGTACCTTTTATATTAGGTAGACAGATATCCTTAAACTGCGATAACTCCAGCAATGATGTGGCATTTCGGTAGTGTCATTACTGAAGAGGTTATGAGCAATTCCGTCAGTCTGACGCCTACCGAGAAACTGACCTGTGACAACAGTCCGTTAAACACGCTGCAGGCAGGTGGGATTCCTCTACAGATCATTTTCTGCATTGCCACGACAGATGCCATGGGAGTCATTATTTGTGTCTTTTCTAAGCAGCTGGAATTTACCCACCGCCGTAATGTTGCTGTGCTTCTATGTAGTACCCTTACCTTGTAATTATGTTTTACACGTAACTGTTTGCGTCAGAAGTTGCAATCGACAAAGTTGAGAATTGTGTTTCCGTTGTTAAATAAGTTCCAGGAACGTTTGGTACAGTTGATCATAAATATGGCATTATTGGCAACCCTAAGCCAATCGTTTATCATCACAGGAGTTTCAACGCGAATATACGTTTATAAAAGGTGGCGCATATGGTAATTAACTATGCTCGCTTTCACCTCCAGTGTCGAAGTAAAAAAAGTCTGCCTCTTCGCGGAGCATTACTAAATTCCCCCTTTATGTGCGAAATTAAGATATATATACGTATCTTTTATATTAAACAAGTGTTATCATAAATGTCAACATTTTTGACGGACATCCGTCTGGTTCGGAAGTATTTAAATCTCAAACTTTGAACCCTAATTACGCTTTGATAAAAGCAAAGATTCAGACGTTTCGGGGACAACTCGGACTTTTGATCACGGGCGAATGTTTCTGTCTGTTTCTGTTACAGTGCTGGGGTGGATGCGCTTCCCTTTTCCCGATCTACCCCAGCACTGTAAACCCTGTAAATGTACGCCATCCTTAGCAAAAACCAAGGTAATAGGCAGGTACCGGGAAAAACACACCAGTGAGTTTTTCGAAGCTTTTATTATCCTAAGCATGGGCGAGCGATGTGTCAGTTTTCCGCCTGTTTTCATTAACAGATGAGAAAATAGCCTTTTTAAAATCTTTTTTCGTGCGGGTATTTTTACATATCCCGTCAAGCTTGCTGACCCGCGAGCCTGTAGTCCCTCCTGCCTGTGTGGCCAACGTCCGCGCTGATTCGTCTTTCTGTACCTCTTTTTCTTAACTTTGGTCAATACATGAGTTGTGAGTGTACGCTTGTCTGTCGTCTACGTGTTCCCTTTCTCTGTCCCTAACCCTTTGTGCGCAACTTTAACTGTGTTCATACTTTTTCTATAGGCGAAAACGAGTATAAATATACTTATTCGTTCAATGCCATTAGCTTACGTAGTTTATTTTCGAGAAAAAACGTTTCTAAACTGCGTGATATTCATACTTCCCTGGGTTCGCGTAGGAAGTATTCAATATTAATTTCTCAAAGCGTTTTAGGCCGCGCGAAATTGTACTTTCTTCGTGTTTTTCGCTGTCGTGAAGTATGTTTTCCTATGGCGTCCACTTTCAATACGAAAAAAGTGTTTTTCTTAATATTAAACTTGTCTTTCTGTAAGTACGCGTTGATTAAATGGCATATCTAAAGACAGATACCAATAGGCCCTCTTCAAAAGTGCCTTTCACCTATAGTCGGTTCAGCCCTAAGCTGAGACTGCGGTGAAAGCTGCGAGCGGGTTGGGTCAGTCATACGTCGATTCTTCACCACGTGATCACGCTCTCGCCAACATCTTAGCGCGGAGAGCAGGGTTAGGTGATGAAGGAGGTGGTTGATCGGTCCGCGGCGAGAGCGTGGCTTTCACCGCAGTCTCAGCTTAGAGGTCAACGGAGTATAGGCGCTTACAGCCAACTTTGCGTTGTTATAAAGGTGAAGTTCACCGCGAAGGATAAACAACAAGCGAAATGTTACCTCTCAGAGGGTGCACCTTTGGGCGCTGCAGTTGTCCATGAATCTGGGCAAACGAGAGCGCTAATTTGTGACGTCGTATGACACGTGATGTGCTCGTCGTTCTTCTCGCATGTGTGGACGCGCGCCCGCCCGGCGGCGAGCGCGCGCCCCGCCGACGCTCTTTGCCGCTCATAACGGTCTTTCTTCGTGGGATTCGATTGTTTCAAGGACTGTCGTAGTAGCGCGGGAACGTTCTTCATTGTTTTGCTCGGCTCAATATCATCATACGACGTCACCGAAAACGCTGCATTGACTTATGTGGAAAATCCAAGTGGTGGGTACCGTACGCAGGTATGTAAATGTTCTGCCCGTGTGATATATAGTTTGATACGGTTGTGACTTCCCGGGAGGTCGTACCACCACAAAGAGGTGGCGGACATGTTTGCACTTTTGAAGGCGTCGAGAATTTGATGAAATCGATCATGAACGCACGCAGGGTTTGGACAATATACCTTTTCTGGAAAACCCAGGAGACCTTTCAATGAGTAGAATTGTGGTGCTGTTTGGATGTACGCTGGTGCCGGCTCGAACGGTTCGTATACTCTGTTAGCGGCACGATTCATTATTTCTTACCGTTAGAAGCTCAGAACGCACGAAATAAACTAAGCGGGCGGAAAAGAAGGCCAGAATACTCTGTTTTGTTTTCCTTCCGAATTCTCTGCGTTCTGAAATCGCGAACTCTTAAACCAAAGTGAACATCGTCTTCGCTTCTTGGATAATTTCACGCGCCGCACATCGAACGTCACAATGCGCAAAGAAGACGCTGGGGGCAGCACATATTTCCGCAAAGGTCTATTAAAGTTGTTAACTACCAAGAACTAGAATGACTCGTGCTTTCACAAGCGCATATTTAAAAACATTGAAATACGTTCTCGCCAGTGGCGAAGCTTTTTTCGGTTTATGTGTATGAAGATGGAGGAGGAGAGAGGGGGGGGGGGGGCGGAGGGGGGGGGGGGGGGGGGGGGGGGAGTTGCGGCTGCGGAGGCTACGGAGCCAGGTGTGAAGACGCCATGTGTATCGGGGGTCGCCTACGTTTAGAGCGGGAGAGGGTAGGGATTCCCTTTTTTTGGTGTAGTCGAGTGTCGAGATGAGATCTACACTGAGGATTTCATGAAATTGTATCTTTTCACAGAGCAGTAGCCGATCAGGTGTTGATTGGCGGCACCGGGCAACATCCGCGATTGATCCCAAATGGTGATCTTTGTAATAGAAGACAATGAGTGATTTTTAATAGCAAAACGTATACAGTTTTTTTTTTTTTTGCAACCTGAACAGCCGTGAAGGGTTTAGAAAGCCGTGAAGGGTACACTTGTGCAACTTGTGCACGTGAGTTTTACGGCGAGGGGGACATAGTATAAGGGGCTAATCTTAACGATCAGTCGGGTAATTAAGTATATTTAGTTAAAATAGACAGTTACAAATAGAAAGTTTCTGAGCACCTTGCAAAACACTAAATCAATAATTTTTAGAGAGGCGTGTGTGCTTAAGTTAGCACTTGTGCGATAAGAGCAAGGCTACTGCTGCTATAACGCGACCGTGCGATATTTTGTCTCTTATCTAGCCCCAGCCTTGTACCTGCACGAGTGGTACCTTTAGCGTACTACTACGCTTCCCACGTGCTCAAATTATTTCTACTTTGTTTCTTTGGTTTTTATGACGCTCAGCAAGTTTTTAATCGCAAACATGTGTCTACTTTCACTTATTAAAAGGTTAATTAAAATTTTACTTAATTATCGGACTGATCATTACGTTTCGCACTCTATTCTTCGCCCCCTGGCCGTATAACTCACCTGCACAAACCGCATAAATGTAGCTTTCACGGTTTTTTTTTTTCAAACAAATATGTTAAGCGTCAAAAACACATTTTTAAAATAAATTAACTAAGGTTTTTCAACTGCATTGGGTCAAACGTGACGTTACCTGGAAGTTACGAAAATAAATGCCTAAGTTGTTTATACGTGCGCATCACAAACAGCACGTGGTCCCTCAGTTGGCTCCAAATGCGTTATTTTCATGCCCTCACGGTCATAGGAATCAGTGTCCCATTACTATCGTTTACATGCTTCCCACATCATGTATTTGGTTTCAGGCTTGTGATCCGCTGAATCCTGTGGTCGTCACCGCCAACCTGGCCAAGCCAACTGAAGAGGCAAGCCATGTTCAACTTAAGACCATAAAGGTCAAGGCAGACTCCCCTGCTGAGGCAGTTCTAGTTGAATTTTACCTTTACTTTGGTCTTAACTTCAAATCGAACAGAAGTTCCATCGCACATTCACTGTGATTGATTACCTTCTTGGTTTGAGGCACTCGCAGCTGGGTGTCATGTGCGTCAGAGTGCTCTCTGACCTAGAGAAAACTGAAAAAGTAATCTGAGTTTTTTTTTGTGTGTGTTTTTTTAAGCCAAATTCAGATTTGCAGTGCAGTCCACTCTTGAAGGGAACATGCAAATGTATAGCAGGCAATCACAGGATCTCCCGGGGCGGTGGCCAGCGGCAACAACCCCCCCTACCCCCCCCCCCCCCCCCCCCCCCCGCCTTCTTGGCCAGCCGCGACGCCCCCCGGCAGTGGCGTCACAGAGAGGGGCGGTCCGCCCATCTTCATGGCGCCACTCCCAACACTACAATTTAGACTCCTTCACTAAATTGAGCGAAGCCAGTCCCATCTAGTGCATTGATGTGTGGCTACACAGACTCCGCCTGTTCTGGTATTTGATCCTGGTACATCTACAGAAGCAGCGGAGCCCAGCTTGAACAAAGCTATCCAGTGCTGTCAGTGTCTGCGCAGCATCTTCGCAGCAGAAAAGTTACACGAACTGCATCCCTGTCCAAGAGGAAGAGATCAGAAGGATTAGAGGCGGACATTAATGTATGGAGGCAATGATTTAGGAAAAAATCCTCGACACACGTTATATGTTTTAAACTGATAATCTTTTTTTCTTTTTTTTTGTTAAGGTATCTTTAAGCGGACCACATCCGTACGCAAGAGAGCACCTATTTAGAAGTTATGCACATGCAGTGCTGCTTCGAAAGAATGTAAGAGAAGAGGAAAAGATATCACTCCATAAAAAAAAAAAACTAAAAATATGTCACGACATCAAAAGCGCACGCGTGTGTCAAAGTGTCTATGCTTTCCAGAACAATTCATGTTGCACATTAAACAATAACTGAAACTGAAAACGCGCGAAATGGTGTCTCATAGGTAAAAAAAAAACAAAAAAAAACTTCAAAGGAAACACGTCGACTTCGGTCGTATCAACAACTTTGGACACGCAAAATTCATTCTGTGCATTCCTAGGGGTCGCAGAATAAATAAATTAATATTCTACAAGATGAAAGCATTCCGTAAAGAAAATGTAGCAAACCAGTTAAACAGCTCGGTGGAAACCAGTAATATATCAGTCAGTCAAGAAAAAAAAAAGGGAAACGTAGCACTGATAATTTAATCAAAAACCTTCTTGCTATATTGATGACTACACGAAACTAGCAGCCTTCTTTATATGTTCCTTTATCAAGGGCGGAAAAAGCGGAGTCAAAACTGTAAGACAAAATATATAAATAATGGTATTTCCAAGTGTAGTTGCAAAACTTTGGCATACTTCCCACTAATATTAGAAAACACAGAGTAAGCACATTAAATTCATTATTTTCTATAATTAAAAAAGTAAAATATATACTTAAAACAACTACAGATTACATTACCACTGAACAACTCTTTTAATGATTTACAAGTTTCAGTAACTAGACCCGTATTTACAAGTGGAAGTAAAACGAATTTGGGAAGTTTTCTACCAATATCTATATTACAAGTAATTTAGCGTTTCATTAAAAGATAGATACAAATAAATACGTAAAACATATCGCTACCTTATGATGTACAGCAAGGTTAGCACAAAAGTACCAAGTGCAACAACACACTTCACGGTGCAGCGCACATTACGGTTTTCACAAAATGTTGAAGTACAAAAACGCTTCTCGGATTACATTCAATAGACCCCAGTTACCACATTTCTCTTGCATTGTCCTTCGACCTGTGGAAAGCATTCGACACCACGATGATTTATCATTTCTAAATACATTTACCAGAGGGGCTTGGGGGGGGGGGGGGGGAGGGAGCATCATGGCATCTTATGAATGCTTTACAGATAAGATAGAGTTGGCGAAAAAAAAATAGCTCGTGCTGGTAGGCAAATGAATGTGCGGAATGAGAAGTCTGGACTCGAGTTTGTTTAACGTTTAAATAACTGAGTTAAGTCTGTTGA